GGAATCCTTCCCCGTTGAGTTAAAAACACTCACCGCTGGCAAACCTCTTAAGAATAGTAGTAAAATTGTCACATACTCGCCATTTATCGGTCCCGCTGGAATCATTCGTTCCACCGGACGGATTGCGCGCTTAGTGAATATCGAGTTTGATACTAAGCACCCAATAATACTCGACGCCCGACATACCTTAGTTCGTTTGTTGGCCCGCAGCCTCCACCATAAGCATTTTCATCAAGGATTAGATTACATGCGCTCCGTTTTAAATATGAAATATGCAATACTTGGGTTGCGTCGACTACTTTGGTCTATCGAAAATCAATGTGTGACATGCCGTCAACGCAAAGCAAGCACCATCCAGCCAATTATGTCCGATTTACCTGTCGAACGTCTCGGATACAAGCAACCACCCTTCAATCATACGGGTGTGGATTACTTTGGACCGCTTTACGTTCCGGTTCGCAGTAGCACGGAAAAAAGATGGGGATTTCTTTTTACTTGCCTCACCACCAGGGCTGTACACCTTGAGATTGTACCATCTCTGGACTCCAGTTCGTGTGTCATGGGCATTGAACGGTTCGCTGCGCGCCGTGGTACGCCAAGCACAATCTGGTCGGATAATGGCACGAACTTCGTTGGTGCGGAAAAGGAATTACTTGCCTGCATCAAGAGCTGGAATGGCATGGCTCCGACCATTTTTGAACACAAAGGTGTTACTTGGAAATTTAACCCACCAGGCGCACCCCATCATGGCGGCTCATGGGAACGCTTCGTCCGAAGCGTGAAGCGCGTGCTGTACGATATCCTAGGCAGTAGGCGAGTCACTGAAGAGGTGTTAGGAACAACACTCTGCTTAGTTGAACAGGCTTTGAATTGGAGGCCAACCACTCCCGTTAGTACCGATTCACGTGAGTTAGAAGCGTTAATCCCAAACCATTTTTTGCTTGGACAACATGCCACAAGCTTTCCTTCGCTTTTACCCGGGGAGCACTTCGATCACAAGAAAAGGTACGTGCGAGCGCAGTCATATGCTAACGCGATTTGGTCTCGTTGGCTTCGAGAATATGTTCCCTCGCTGAATAATCGTGTCAAGTGGCACACTCATTCTGACTCCACTCTTAAAACAGGCAGTCTCGTGTGGGTGATTGAGCCCGATAGTCCGCGTGGGTACTACCCTCTTGCCCGAATCGTCAAGCTAAACTACGGACAGGACGGTTGCTCCCGATCCGCCCTTGTCAGGACCTCAACCCGTGAAGTCACGCGGCCGACCGTTAAGCTCGCTCCGGTTCTTCCTTCTTCAGGGGGGGGGGGGTGAGGATGTTGCAATGCAAAACAAGAGTACAGAATAAAACAAGAGTATAGATGCATATAAAATAAGCACAGTTGGCCGAGTGGCCTAAGCTAACGCCGATTATATAGGTTAACAGTTCCCCCACCTGCCCATGTATTAATATACTAAAAATGGGGGTTACATCCTATTTTAACTGTTTTTTAGTTCTAATTCGGTTCAGCCTTGATTAAGGCTGACCGCCAAAAAGAGCAATTTGTCTCAAGGACACTACCGACCGGTTCTTGTGGCTAGCTTGCGCGAAATTATCTCAAAAACGAGTTGTACCGAAACAAGTTGATTTTGTGATCTTGATTATGCAAACCGTTGACATTGCTTATTTCTTGTTATGCGTGTTTACCAAAAAATACTCATAATTTAATTTGTCTTATACAGTTTTTTCAGATTGAGCGCTTAAAAAGAAACCAAAAAACTTGAGTCGAGATATTTGAAAATAACACCAGCTGTAGCTTAGTCAATTCTAAAAAAAACAGCACTAATCAATTCCATTTTATATCAGACAGAAGATATCACCAGCCACATATTAATGCTTTTTGTTCCGATTTTCAAAGGAAGTGCGGAATATTTATGCTTGGGGATTTTTTCCGTCTATTTTTGAACTTTTAACCACACATTTTTGACGAATACCACTTGAAAGATAATATTGTCCTGAGCTCAAACTAATTTTGAAAAATCATTTATGACAACTATGAAAATTGCTAATTTAGCAAATTTGGGATAATTAACGCGCAATATTTTGCGTTCTTATATCACGCCCAAGCGGCGAATTATTGCGTTCCAAATTGGATTGGAATGTATTTCATTACACTTGAAGCCCGCTCTGCTTATTTTTGGTGGTTCGTAAGATCCCGTTGTCTGTCCTCTTCAAATTTCATTACTGTTCCGACTTTCATTATTGTTTCGACGTAACGTAATATTTGTGCTCGGGGTGTTTTTTTTTCTTTTCTGCAGTTAAGTTTTGACTTTCTAACTAGCCATTTTGATATACTTTTTATATACTATTCGAAAGGTATTGTTGTCCTGAGCTTAAATTTAAAAAGATTTTTCAAAGATGGCCATTTCGTTACAATTAAGCGCGATATATTTCGCGTAAGCGGAGTAACGCGTAAGCGGAGATTTAATCCGTCATAGAAATTGTTCCAAATTGGTTGAAAGAAGCTTTTTTGCCATAACTCATTTGTTACTAGGAGCAAAATCTATCAATTTGTCCTGTATTTTGCGAGAGGGGGGGATGATTTTCATTTTATTGTTCCGACTTTCGATACGGTACGAAAGTAACGGAATATTTGTGCTCGGGGTGGGTTTTTTTTTCTTCAGACAAATTTTGACTTTTTAACTAGCCATTTTTGACGGAATTTTTTAATGTCATTCGAAAGGTATTGTTGTCCTGAGCTCAAATTTGAAAGATATTTCACCTGTGATCATTTTTCGTAAAGTTACGGGGTTTAAAGATTGCCATTTTGGCCAATTTCGGACAATTAATGCGCGATATATTTCGCGCGGCGCACAGACAATTCGGCCAAAGACAATTCAGCCAATTTGAAATTCAGACAATTCAGCCAGAAATATACAGACACTTCAGCCTGAGACAATTCAGCCAGTTTTACAAAACGCTAGAATCGGAAGGAAAAAAAATGGAATTGGAGTTATTTCTCGGTTTAAGGTCGCCGGCGATAACCGGCTCTAAATTTCGTATAGAGTCCTACCCTCTGTTGGCAAGCTCGCAACACGTTGGCGCGACTGCGGCGGTCCCAATTATTGGCTGAATTGTTTTTGGCTGAATTGTCTGCATAATTTTGGCTGAATTGTCTGAATTTCAAATCGGCTGAATTGTCTGTGGCCGAATTGTCTGGACGCGATTTCGCGCTATTAACGCGTAAGCGGAGAGTTAATCCGTCTTAGAAATCGTTCCAAATTAGTTAAAAGAAGCTTATTTGCCATAATTGGCGTGTTACAAGGAGCGAAATCTATCCTTTTGTACTTTATATGGCGTGTGGGGGGATGATTTTCATAAACAATTTCAAAATCCAGAATTTTTTTTTATTTTGTTATATTTCATTGAATTTTTAAATGTTGTTACTGCTTCATAAACCTTAAAAGGCAGTCGGAACATTCAGGGCTTCGCCTTGATACGAGCAGTCTTGCTTTATTACAATTAGTCTTTCCATGTTAATACTGTTCCATAGAGCTTAAGAGGCAGTCGGAACATTCAAGCTTTGCCCTGATACGAGCAGTCTTGTTTGATTCAACATAAACTTATTGAACGAATAGTTGGAGAAATAAAAACTTCCTTTCATTCTGTGTTCATAATCTGGTCTTTGAAGTTACTTACAAATATTCTTGCGGCCAATAGTCACTAAAACATTATCGAAATATTAGAGGGTTACAATACTATGATAAGAATACTAGATGAGAATTTATCAAAACTCACTACGAGAGGTCTCTCCACGCAGGTGTCTCTAAACATATAGATGATTTATTCAATAATTATGCGTTTACTCAGAGGTGTGCACAAAGTTTTTTGACCGGTTGGGGGACATAGTTATTTGAGGTCAGCCTCAACCATATTCAGCAACCATTTCTGCACCGCCAGTGGTTTTTTGGAACGGCACGCAACTGCATAAGGTAATTAATACTCAAAGACAATCTCTCCAATCATAAATAATTTATAACTCAATGGATGCCACGCAAAAATCTCATGATCAATAGCAAATTATGAACATATGATGTACTAGAAGTTTAATTTTTTATTTGAAGCAAAAACTGTCATTCATTTTTCAACCAGCAAAAATTAGTAGACAGATATGGCTCAGTTAAGCGTAATCTTATTGAGCCAACCTGTTGAACTTTGACGTCGATTTCGCTTCTTATTTCCTTTCTTCTTCCTTTTTTGCACAACTTTATTCTCATCTCTCATCACAAAAGCCTTCGCTCGACCAGTCTTTCGTTCGGACTCAGCTATTTGTTTTTTGCTTTGAGCGCGTGAACCGATACCCCGTTTCGTTCGTCTTGGGAAAACACCTGAAATATTTATATCAAAGTGGTCATGGCAACTTCAGGAGTCGGAAAAAGTTAAACGTCCGATTTCGTAGTAACTTCACCTTCAGAAGTCGTTGTAACTGCAAGTGCAGGAGTCGTTGGAATCCAATCAACAGAACTTCCCCCAGAATACTCAGAACCGCCACTTTCACTACCAGATCCATCACCGAAATCATTCGGATAATAATACTCTGAAGGCGATCCAGACCAATTAGAGTCTATATCATACTGCCAGTACGATATGTTGAACCCCTTTCGTCTCTCTGAAAAATCGGCGAAGAACTCAACAACCAGAAGATTGCTAGGTGAGTGGAGCATAGGAAGAGACCCCATTTGAGGAATGTGGGATGCTCTTATTGTTCCACAAAGTTCATAGGATCCCCAGAGCGAGATCGGAACTTCCTCTTCGCCAGAGTAGAAAGCTAGATAGTCGAAACAATCTTCTTGTAGACCCTCTTCGTCATTTTCGCTCTCAATGTTAAGAGGTGGGTTCACTAAGAGGACTATCCCTTTGTTACCTGAAATGTTTCATATTGCAATATGATAGGTATTGCACACGTATAATGCACAGGTATCGCCAAAATGACAGGCAAAAATTCTCAGTCTGATTTTCTTAACAATTCAGCATTTTCACCCAGTTTTTTGGTGGGAAAGTTCATAAACTAACTGTCCTTTGCTGTGATGATCCAGTCACAGTCCAGATTGTTAGAGTACAGAGCATTTTCCGAGTAGCCCTCACTTGTAAAATACTGTTCATAACTCCTCGCCTGAAGCCACTGCGAACAGCCCTTTGTGCAGTAGAACTAAAAACATCCAAAAATCACGACAGTCTTGATTGTCAAACTTTGCAAAAAAGGTTCATTTTTATGCTTTTAGCAAACACCACCCCTCATTTGGCAATATTTCACAAGACACACTTGAGAAAACCCGCTTGGCGCAAATTATCAATGATTTTGCGAGAAGACCGATGTAGGTATTTACAAAAATATTGGACCTGGCTAGACGAATTCAATGGAGAAGTCGTTGTTTCGAGGCCCACCGTTCTCCTCGTGGATATAAATTGTAAAAAATGAGATATGATATGACATGCTGCTTTATAATTAGTGTTGTATCTGGTGAACTATTAAGTTTAGTCTATTCTATCACGTGTGGCGGTGTTCTATTCTAATTCAGCTATAGGAAAGAACTCCCGTTTTTACTGAGAAGTATTTAGTTACAGAGGTCAAGACGATCTTGTCTTCGAAGCGTGGTAGCTCAGGAATTTCTCAAAAGGAGATTCAACTGATTTTTGAGTTGCTATCTGTCTCTATCTGATTTTGTTCTAAGTTCCTACCTGAGCTATACATAAAGTCAAATTTTAGACTTATTAAACATCCGGTGTAAATATATTTATTTATGTTTATATATATTTTTATATATATTTATTCATATTTATATATATTTATTTTTATTCATATATATTTACATATATTTATGTATATTTATATATTGTTATATATATTTATTTATATTTATATTTATTTGTATTTATTTATATATATTTTTTATAAATTTATATATATTTATATAGTTTTTAGATATTTATAGACATTTATATATAATTATATATATTTATA